GTCTGTTTTTGGAAATCACTAAAATAAGCCAAGGGAGAATCGAACTTCTCACTTCTGAGATCTGATTCGTCTAAGGTCACGTTACCACTACAGCACCGCTCTCACTGTTCTCCACTGAAATATCTGAAAACTAATGTGATATGATAACTTCGTATTTTGCCAGCTTTTCACGGAAATTTCTGAGCAGCGTGTGGGCCTTTATCATTTTCACATCATTTACTGAGATGGAATAATGAGAATTGACCTTAGAAATTTCGCACGAGTATTTAAAGATGGACGATTGAAATGGAATAACGAGACGATAAAAAGGTGGCTGTGACAGAGGGAATGTGCAGCGACCTGGAACGAGGCATTGTCCAGTCCTTGTTGCCTTTGCAAACCATCTTGTTTTTAGTCTCATTCAGCAAATTTTCGAAAATTTCAGCGCTCGTCTGCACGTTACCAACCAAAACGGAATTCCTCACTGATGCAGTTGCTCTGGCTGCTCTGAGTCCGCAGGGGCCCAAAGGACCTCCACCAAAACCACCTCCTAGGCCAGTGAACAAAGGACACGGACGAAGCGCGAGCCTGGACTTGAACACTTTTATAAATTCTACTGCACCAGGGTAATTTTAGATGCATCTTAATTTACAGAGCTCTTTTAACCGGTTTTTGGTTGCGCAGTACTTTTAAAATCGAAATGTGCCCCTAACTTCTACTTCTGATTCATTGACTGGCCCGTATGCTTTTCAGTGTGTAGTCTTTTCAAGAATCTTCACTCCTATTACTATCAGCTGTCTGAGTCTGTACGTGCCTAACTTTTTTCATGAATTCCTTCATGGGAAACGTTAAAACAGCACCGCTAGAAAGCACTGTAATCAATGTTTCAGGATCTGAAATAGTAGGAGGAGTTGGATGTGTAAATTGATAGCGCCTAGCGACTTTGACTGAGGGCTGAGGATGATGAGGAAAGTTAAGCTGGTATCCACAAGAATGCTCATTAGGATGATAAATAGCTTAAGCCTAAAATCCTAGAGCTCGAGTGTAAGTTTTTGTTTTCAGACCAAAACATAATACAGCCGCAGAAGTATTGCAACGTGGCGCAACTCTTCCTGCGCAAGCATCTTTGCGGTATCATCCGTGTAATTCGATGCCTGCGGACACTGCTTGCTTCTCCACCGCAGAATGGCAAGGTGAGCAACATTGTCTTACATGTTGCCACTTTTTTATGAGATCTGTTAGCGTGTTACAGTCCACCCCAGGACCGTGGTACCAACCTCAAGCACGACTGGGCCCGCGTGCGACCACGTGAGGGTTTTGGCGGGAAAATTGTCAGTTCGGGAATGAGAAAAGCTAGGAAGCTGAAACCTTAGGGAAATGTGAAATCTGGAATATTTTGCATTTCGCCTTTTCTGCATCAAAAACCTGTTGCATTTTCAAGAAAATCCCTGCCTAAAATGCGCCTTAAAGCATATATTTTCAGTACACTTGTGGATTTCTGGATTCGAAACTAAATTTTGTTTTTAATTCTAGCTGGCTGCAATGACATTTGCTATTTTCTAAAAATTTGCTCATGTAGCTAAGTTGTGTAAAATGTGGGTGTTATTGGAATAAATTGGTGTCTTGTTGGACAAGTCTGGCGAGAGTTTCTGTTGCTGGTGAGCCTAGCACTGACGTTTACTAAGTAAGCCTGTCCGATCGAAATGTGGCATAGCTGTGTTTTGGTCAGCTGGGGTTGGAGAAACCTTGGGTGCGGCGTACGTTTTTGTATTATTTCTTCACTGCCCCCAGATGTCACGTTGTTTCTCACATAGGAGTGCTTTTTGTCAGTATACTGATAATTTGTTGCAGATTCTAACAGTTCTCCGCGTCATCTGGCTCCACCGTTGCCTCCAAGGGCAACCTTTGTTGATGTTTGTGTGCAGACCGAAAGTAGCGCCGCATCGTCACGAAGTTTCACCGATGGACGCGAATTGATTGAGCTAAATATTGATATGGGTAAGTGCTTTCTTGTCTGTTTTCTTTTTTCAGCTTTTTTTTGCTTTTTTTTTGCTTTATCCACCAAACACGAAAATGTTTGTGTGCACGTAAAATAATGAATAACAGTGTCGGACTAAACACGTGGTCTGGACTGATTTAAAAAAAAAAGTCGTCGTTTGACAGATCAGTCTTCCTGCACCAACTCTGTGGTAAATCGAATTATTTAGAGAAGAGCCATGGGTGCTGTAGCCCAGTTTAAGCGCACTCATTCAAGAGACAGTAACCTAGTTGCTGTCCTGAGATGGAACAGAAGAACAATACAACATCTGTTCATTTCGACTTTTTGGGAGAAGCCTTCGTTTCATTTTCATGGCACTAAAAAAGCAGGGGTCAAAAAGAATTTGACTGCTTGCTCCCTGCAATTCATTTTCTGATATTCTTCACTGATAAAAAGAATCGAAAATTTGATCAGAGATTAGGCCGAAATTGTCCAAATGAGGCTGCCTTGTGTCTTTGTGGTGAATGGCAAATAAAAAAGCAAATAGCTTCGGATGTTTCGAATAAATTTTTACGGAACTGACATATTTGTTGGTTTTGTGAACAGACTTTCGTACTTATCAGCATCTTTTGGCTAAATGGCGGAGTTTTTATCAGCGTTGCTGCTAGAGAATTGATAGATAACGTGAATGTTGGTCGATGGACACTATGACAGATACGTTCGAAATATATTTTTGAGTATCGGGAGCTCTTGAATTACGATTTTCAGAAAAACGTATCGAGGAGCTGTTAGCCGCTGAGGGAAATTCAGATGCAGGCGTTGGCTGTAGTTGTAGTGGTGGTGGGGGTACAGCGTCAACAGCACACATGAACTGGCGCGATCGTTGTGATCATTTGCGCAAACTGAATGCGCATCTGGAAGCGGAAAGAACCAAATTAGCGCAGATTAGGCTACAGCTTGAATTAAGACTCGAGGAAGCAGCGGGCAATCAACCTTCGATGAAGCCAACGTCACTTTGATAGCGAAATCTGGCCGGTGTTAAAATCGACCACGGGTCGACTCGCCTGCAAAAGTCGGTTTGAATTCTCTGCATGTTGTCGGTGTCGTTTCTTACTGTTTAAGCGACTTGGTCTGTGTTTCCGGTTATCTTTTATCTGTATTTTCATAATTATTTACAAATTAAAAACTGGGTTGCGGCTTAGCGAAGAGCCAGTCACTTTATCATTCCAGAAAAACGGGTCACATAGTTTGAATATGAAACTCAAAAACCGCTCTTCTTTTGTAAGCTGCTTCAGCT